CACACACATATATATTTAAGTGTAAATTAACATTTGATCCACTCTGTATTTTTGTAGGCATCCCAGAATTTAGCATCACCCGGTTTCCCTCGACAAAATCTCAATAGGATTTTTCATTGATTTTTGGATTATTGCAGAAATTGACGGTGGACGAGAGAGCTCAACGCGCTTTAAATGAACATGCAAATAGAAAAAAAACACCTGCAAATGAAGAAAACATCTTCATCAGTTTGACAACACACGCGTTGCAAATTCTAACAACACAAATAAAGAAACGTGCTGCAAATACAAAAAAACTAAAATACAAACAAATACAGAAACGCTGCAAATATGCACAGATCACATCGGAAATGTTTAAAGGAAGCGTGTTTCTTTGTTTGTATTGTGAGAATTTGCAACACGTGTGTTGTCAAATTTATTTTTTCTATTTGCATGTGTTTTTTCATTTGCAGCGTGTTGCGCTCTCTTGGCCACCGTAGAAAATAAGCAAAAGTTTGATTCTGACATTCTGTGTTCATCATGATAATCTTCACAAATGAATGCTGCTTTTATACAATGTGAAGCCTAAATACAGTCTGCTGCAGTAAAAAGCTAAACAGAGGCTATAAAGAAACTACACCACGGTCACATGACTTCAACATCACCACAATTAACTCTTCATTTAAAAACACTTTCCCTGAAAGTTTGAGTTATAATCGTTTGCAAGAGTGCAAACACATCGAGGTGGTGAAAGCAACTGATGTTTAATGTCACCGACAACCTCTGTAGTCCCATTCAGACACTTATTAGACACCGGCTTTTTCAAGACAACTGAAAGCTAAAAATCACAAAGGGGTAGTACTGATGTATTTTATGTCTTACAATACATTTCCATGCTGGTTCCAATTTGCAAAACATACTCTACGCTGGAGACCAGCAATGCTGGATTTTTCAGCAGGGGTGGCATATTGTCACTCGATGTCTTTGTCTTTCTTTCTGCTAGTTCTATGCTTTCACGACATTCGCTCTGCAGTTGAATGTGCTGGATGCAGAGATGGAGCGAGTTCTTCCACAGACAGACTGTCGTCTGAGGCCTGATATCAGAGCCCTGGAGAATGGAGACATAGGTACATCGATCGCTTATTGTGTCTTATAATGAAACGCATTCATTAACCCAGAAAA